TGTCTGTGAAGAGCAACAGAAATAATACAATGAACTCTTGAAAATGTGTGATGCTTTTAAGTGCTAAATAGTTTGTTGAGCTTTCCAAATTAACTTTATCACCGGTCTTTACAGAAGGTTATCGTAATCGATACCAAACTACGTGGTATAACATTGCTATTTACGTAGTCATCTGAAGCAGATGCAGGTTGAATATCAGATGTGTTTGCCTGTGACTTGCTTTTGTTTATAGCAAAGCTACTACACTTGAGAGAACCTACGGGCCTGCGTGGATAGCATACGGGCATTCCTTTGCAGTGGAGAGTGAGCACGACCAAGCAATGGCTGCATACTTCACAGCTGCACAGCTCATGAAAGGGTATGTCAAAAATGCCATATTCAGCAAAATTAATCCATAAACAGTGTAAAATGTTGACCTGTATCTCTTTAAACAGTGAGAATACATTTGCAACAATTATCTGGTAGAGAACAAAGGAGAAAAAACCTCAAATAATTTTCATCATCTGCATTTAACTGCAATGTTTGTGATTATTGTTGTGATTTCATAAGTTCTAAAGTCAAGATTTATATTTAGGTATTCTATGTTCTACCTGAAAGTTCTCTAAAATTTGGAGATCGTGTTTGTCACACCAGGTCATAAACTGCAGTATAGTAGTATCTTCAGCCGCTGTTTCATGCTGTGGAGAAGGCTGTGAAATGGGTAGCAGAATCATGTCATATTGCATGTAAAACTGCTGTATTTGACTGTAGTTATCTGTAAATGTAATCCCTTTAATTACTACTTATTCCATGTTCTATCTGTAAATGAAATGTGTGAAGGAAACCAGGGGAAAAAACCCTCAGAACTAACTTAAGGACAGAGACAATACAAAGAATTCCAGGGCAGGTTACAATTAAGAGCTGGAGTTCAAATTGTTGTCAGTAACTGAGAGATGTGAAGTCTTAAACTGCCCCTTCAGTTAATAGTCCCCTTAAATCGGCTTTTACTTGGATGTGAAGACAACAGCAAACATGGTTGGCCTTTTTCTTATCTGGAACAGCATCACAAACTATAAGCGCATGTTTGGATTTTTTGTGGTGTTTCTTTTTCCAGGTGTCATTTGCCGATGCTCTATATTGGACTGGAATACGGTTTGACCAACAACTCAAAGTTAGCTGAAAGGTTTTTCAGCCAAGCTTTAAGCATTGCACCGGAAGATCCTTTCGTTATGCACGAAGTTGGAGTGGTTGCATTTCAAAACGGGGAGTAAGTTTGCAAACTGGGATTAAATACAGTCTTAACCATGGATTATTCTGACGTGTAATGTGCCAGTGTACCTGATAAAGTACTCCCATACAGCTGTGGAATGCAGAGCTGCTTTTGGTTCTAATATAGAGGGTGTTTACCCTAATTCTTTATGCTGTTCCTCGTTGTTTAAGACTGAACGAGGAAGGGATTTTAATTCTTGAAGAGCGTGCGGAGGTCGGTTATTATTGTGTGTGCCTGTCACTGGGTAGCTGCATGCATTGAAGAGGCATCTGTCTGCACACACAAGTGCACACCTGCTGTAAAATGTTGCACTGCCAAACCTCTTGTCTGCCCAAGAGGTATATACCCTGAAAAAACCTAACAGGATAACTGTTTACTGAATATTCTTGGTTTGCTTCTGATTGTTTAACTTTGCCTTGTTAGTTTTCAGGAGCACGTGCAAGATGCAGCCAAAGGTCAATTACTGGTTTTTACACCTAATGTCACTTAGGCAATGGAATTGTCAGAGAACTGTTCCTGATAATACAGTTTTCTCATACTGCTAATGAAACCTCTTCACTAATTTACTTTTCTTTCCCTCTGCCCCCTCAATTCTTAGCTGGAAAACTGCAGAAAAGTGGTTTCTTGATGCACTGGAAAAAATCAAAGCTATTGGAAATGAGGTATTTTTCCCAATAACATGCATGACCATAAATATGTGAAACTCCAGGAAATTCTATAATGTCTTGTGACCAGATACGTTGCGCTTATTTTAAGACGGAAGCGATAAAATACAAATTTGACTTTAAACCTTGGACCATTTACTTGTAATTGAGGATGTTGAGTTTTTGGATGAGAATCATCACAGGTTATCTTCAGCAATACAGGAAATGGTAAAAAGTATGCTTTTATATTTAATTAAAAGAAAATAAGGCTGACTGGGGAGTGGAATCCCCGTCTCATTCTCAAGTCTTGGGTCGTAGTAGACCAGTGATTCCTGACCTGAGCTCAGAACTGGGTGCAACATGGGAAGAAGATGGTTTCTGACACCTTAAGTGTTAGCCATGTCTTAAATGACTCCCACTTTTGTTTGGTTGCAGTCCTACAGGTATGGATTTGTTTTCTTTCTACCAGATGGGCCCAGTCCCACAGAGTGGCCCTAGGGATGCCCATTAACTAACCACCTAAAAGTAATCAAAATCATCATTGGCAAAACGTTCGTCAGGAAATGTGCTGATAGTTCAGGTACTTCTGTGAATAAAAAGTCAGCCATTACAACCCTGATTTCTCAATTTCTCAAAAAAAATTATTTGGTGTAGGGATTGGAAAAATGAGTTATTGAATAAATGTTTTGAGCTTAAATATGTGTTTTGAAAATGCTTGTGATATTTTTCTTGTTACGAATGAATTGCATTGTTAATTTTTGTGTTTATTGGGGCATTGTAATTAAACAAAATTCAGGTACAGTCTAGAAAGCTGCAGTTATTTGAATTGTTGCGTTATTTTGCAGGTGACAGTTGACAAGTGGGAGCCCTTATTGAACAACTTAGGACACGTCTGCAGAAAACTCAAGTAAGCAGAGAGTAGTGGAGCTACATTTATTTGGAATACTGCACAAGTGTGTTTTCTCTAGGCCTGTTCCCATTTATGTCAAGATTGCGTGAGAACAGTGTAGAAGCACCTTGTAGGAACAAGATTCACTAAGTCAGCTTGTGAACGTAAATATATTAATCACTCCTTATCTCCAGTTTACTACACGCAAGTTCAAGTATTGGATGTAAAAGCTTTTCCGTAATTATTGGTTCTTACTAGAGAGAAATTTGGTCGTAGGCTTTTAGATCCTTATGTGGGTCTGAATTCTACCTGCCTGATGTACTTGAATATGTCCGCTCATGTAACTACCATGAAGGAGGTTTTGTGCTGATTAATTGCTGTGATCAGTGCTTATGGCTTCTATTGAAGTGAAATATTCAGTGACATCAACACAGCAGTAAGATATTACTTCATGGGGTTTGGAAGAGAACTATTTCATATTTCCATTCTAGGAAGATAAAAAGAGAGTGCGGAGTACATATGCAAGCTTTAACAGTTTTAACAGAGAGAAATGTTTTCTAATTAATTACTGTAATCTGATTTTAACCAGTGTTTTCTTTTATCTAATCAGTACCACATCTTTTGGGGTTTTTTGGTGTCATTGTTTTAATTGTCCAGTTGGTGTGTACTGTAATTTTTGTTTCAGAGCCGCTCATAGGAGTGTGATTATGGTAGATGTAAGCTGTACTTCTGCTTTGGCTTTGGTAGCAACTGCTTTGTGCTTGAATTGCCAATTAGTCTTCACTTTCATTATGAACTACGGATGTGTATTAGTTACCCCTTCTGCCAAGATCAAACAAAAGGCACAGCTTCTGGAATCTGTTCATGAGTATAATTGCAGGGGGTTTTCCAATACTTGTTTCAGTTATAATTCCTTTTGTCTCTTCTGTAATTTCTACAGCAAGTTAGTGACTGCTGACATCACACTTAGGACAATTTGCATTGTATTTGTTCGGGTTCAGAAAGCCAACCTAACATATTTCTACATCCTTGTAGGCCATCTTTCAGGAATATAAAGTTGAGCATTCAGGCAGCTGTATGTATGCTTTGAGCTAAAAAGATCTGTAATAACTAGTTCACTAGTCTTCAAAACTCATACAACATATGGCTAAAGGAAAGGACTTACTGGCTGTATGTCTACTCACTAGCATTCTTTGGCTGGAACTTGAAAGCAGCATGGAAATGCAGTGGTAGTTAATTGGACAGGTAAACACAATGAGTGAAAATAAAATTCAAATTGTGGGCAAGTTTTCTGCACCTAGCAAACAGCTGCATAATTTTTCTGCCTCAGTTGTTCCTACGTGCCCTCAACAATGTCAAGTGTTGCCATTTGCATAATTCCTTTATAACTCTGAATAGACAATTGCTGTCTTTATTTTTAACAACTTGGTACTAGGATTTCAAATGTAACTATTTAATTTCTCAAAGTAATGTCATAATGTATGTTTAATCCTTGTTGTATAAAATAGTCTAATTAATGGATAATTTTCAAAGAAAGGGTGGCTGGTATTTGAAGGAAATTTATGGATATGTGTAAACCTTCTTCTCTGATAGGAAAGGCAGCAAAACAGAAGCCATAAAAGTACCAGTGCGTGTAGCACTTAAGGGTTGTGAGATCTCTGCCCGGAGAGCTTTGCCCACTTTGAACAAAGAGTGTCTTAGTCTCGCGGTGTTCCTTCGCTCTCCTGGGGAGGAAAGTGAAAGCTACCGAAGGCAAGCTGACATCAGGATGAGCAGCACGAGGCATCTAAAGCAATTTACTGTGTCAGATTGCTAAGATCATCCCCACACGAGGCCTAGCTGTGGGCAGCTGTTGGGCCACTTCAGGGGGACAATGATTCCTCACTTACGCTGAGGAAGAAAATTGCCCATGTCCACGAGTCTTGTGCGTTCTGCTGTGTTCAGAGTGTGAAGAAGCAGTAGTGTTGAAGTCCTTGCGGGATTGCATGCCACTGAGCTAAGGGAAATACCAGTGCTGTTCTATTGGGGTGCCTTTCACCCTGAAGCTTTCTAATAGATCTTCTGTGTTTAACCCTAACAGGAAGTACGAAGAAGCCCTGGAGTACCATCGCCAGGCTCTGGTACTAATTCCTCAAAATGCTTCTACTTACTCTGCCATTGGCTACATACATAGTCTAATGGGCAATTTTGAAAGTGCCATTGACTATTTTCATACGGTACGTAACTGGCTTAAATTAAAGTGCTCGTCACAGATTCTGTTATTTACTGTTTCAGTCTGGTTTAGGACTGAGAACCTGCCCCCAGATTAGTGTTTATTTTGTAGTAGTTAATATTTAAAAAAAAAAAAAATCTTCCTTGGTTTTCTGTTGATTAGGTAAAAAATGGCCACTCTGAAACTTGGTACTTGCATCCTTCATTGTTATAAATCAGTTGTCATGTACCTTTTATGAACGTAAACTCACACAGCTGAAATGGTTTAAAATACTTCCAACCTATGCCTTGAAATAGAAATTTTACAGTAAGTGCAACATATGCTATATTTCCTGATTTGTGAATGATTCTTTGTCTCCATACCTGTCCTTTTCTGTTTTTGTTTTCGTGCTTTGCTTGCTTACAACTTCAGCCAGTTCATAGGGCAATATTATTGTGGTTGTGCAGCGTTTTGCCTCACAGCGCAGACTGTGCTCCAATAGCACTGTCGAGCTAGAAAACAACACGCTCGCAACTGTCGTGGACTTAAGTTGTAAATGGGTTCATTTGCTACTGAATGCTTCTTACTGTTTGTTTTAATAGGCCCTTGGTCTTAGGAGGGATGACACGTTCTCCGTCACGATGCTTGGACATTGCATAGAGATGTATATTGGTGATTCTGAAGCCTACATTGGTAAGTCTTTCACGTAGGTGACTCCTAACGTCATCAAGTCCTTTGAGAGGGGTCTTATTCTTACATCAAGAAAGACTGTCTACCATTACCTAGTTAATTTACAAAGCAGAGTATGGGGATTTTGGGGTGTGTTTTATTGTTGTTGGGGCTTTTTTTAATGGCTAAATGAGTCAGAACTTATTAACAATTGCCGATGACCACTAGTTTTGGTTTTGTTTTGGTTTTTTTTTTTGTAAGCACAGTGACAGTAATTTCTTACCAGTAAAAAGAAAGGAAACACTTTGCCATTGGAGGAGGTGATGGTTTCTTTTATAGAAAAATACTGATTTGTTGCAGCTTAGAAACCAAAGGGAATGGGGGAAAAACTAAAATAGAAACGTAGAGTTAGAGAATCAGAGGATTTGCTTTCAGCTTATGCTGCTGTAGAGGGAGGGCAGGGCGTTTTCACCATGTCAAAACTCTGCTCTGTGGAGACTCTGTACAGTCTCCTGCCTCCAAAATGGAGCTTTACAGATAGTAAAAAAAAAAAAAAAAAGGTGCTTCATAACAGTAACACATTACATTGCCAAAGTTGTTTTAAATATTCTATGAAAGCTTTCTGCCCAAAAAAGACACTTTATAGCCACATGTTTCTGCTTCATTGAACGTACCAATTTATCTGTAATGAGCGCAGTTGATGTCCTGTCAGGCACGGTAAGGAGGCTGAAGCCTGTAAACGCCATCTGCGTTGCTCCATTGCTTTTCTTGCAGATACTTTGCCCAACTGAAGCAGATGTTTCTCCTCAATGTTGTCTTGTGCCATATGTAGTCAGTCAGCACATCTGGAAGCACTGCGCAGCTGTGTGATATGCATTAATACAAGCCATGCTGTGTGTAACACAACGAGAAAAGCCTCTTAAGAGAATTGGGAAGGGAATTGGCAATTACTTCTAATAACAGGCTTTGGAGTCTGAGCTGTACTTCTTACGCTATGCTTTTTTCAAAAAGGAGGCTGCTGGATTTTCTCAGAACAACTCTATTCAGCGTCAGTCGTTAAGCAGCAACAGCTCCCTGTGGGTCTGAAGGCAGAGAATCGTAGTGGTTTCTGGATGATGGTTTCTTTGAGAGACATTTTTTGGGACTGTTCATTTGGAATAAACTAATGGCTTGACTGTTTTCCTAGGAACGGAGATCAAAGACAAATTAAGATGTTACGACTTCGATGTGCACACAATGAAGACATTAAAGAACATAATTTCACCTCCCTGGGATTTCAGAGAATTCGACATAGAAAGACAAACTCTGGATGAAAGTGGCATAGTAACATTAGAGACATCACATCAAAGGAAGAGCACAGATACCAGTCGCCCGCTGGAAGAAACGTTCGAGATTGAAATGAATGAAAGTGATATGATGTTAGAAACGTCAATGTCAGACCATAGCACGTGACCATAAATGCTGGTAGAGCGCTTGTTTTGCCTAAGTGTAGTATGTTTGGTTTACCATTTTTGTTATGGTGTAAAACTTCCAAGAATTTGCTATTTTTATATAAATTCAAACTACTCCCCTGTACTTGACACCGGAGGAATAATGCTTGCCTTAAGGGTGATTAAAAAGTGTACTTGACAGACTGTTTCTACACCATCAATCATATGTGATGAAGTAAAAAAAAATGAATTCACTTTCTTTTTAGACTGTTTACTGATCCATGTGTCTGCCATCAGTAAGACCGTGGAAGTTTAAAAATAGTACTTGACATGGAACCGCTTACAGTGTTGTTAAACAGACAATCTAATATGGTATTACTGTGACTTCTGACTTTTCATCGTGTCTGTGAGGAATGCTTTCTTGGTAAACAGACCAAAAAAATCAACAAAGTTTTATACTTACTACTTCATAAATATGTATTCCTTCAAGGAGCGGTTTCAGTGGTTTTCCATCATTTGACTCTAATTTGGCATACGCTAAATTGATGACAAAGCGTGTTACTTCGTTATACTTTCTCCTAGTTATTTTAGTGATTATCATTCTATGTTGTATTACTGAAAGATCACATAAGAACTTTCTGGTAAGCTGGCTGGATGAGAAACACGAATGGCATAAACATAAAGGTAAATTAGCATTATGATAAAGTTGTAAACCACAGTGTACTGTAGGGACCGCGGTCCTTCTCTTTACATCTGCATGTAAAGTCAATGCATTTGTCAGTGCAAAGGATTAACTGAGTAATACACATACACAGTTTTTATGTGTCTCTGTAAAGTGTGGTATTTTTAAATGTCGTTGATTCACTGAAAAATGAAGTAAAGCAGATGCCTCTGAAACAGCAGTAGTGATTTGTCCATCCACTAAACAGGACAGGTCTGTTTGCTACCTTACTATGAATGTTGAGCCTATTTTGTGTCACTTTTCCCTTCCCTACTGTCCTCTTCCACGTGTCACTCTGTGGGGCTTAAAAGTAAACCTGTAATGCTACAAGCTGTCATAATATTTTCTTCTGTGACTTCCAGCTAAGTTTTGGCACTGAATGTTTAGAAGAGATTTCCTGGTGTTTAGCAGTCCAGACTTCACTGTGAAGTACTTCAGGACTCAAGAGCTAGCAATTTTTGTGTAAACCAAGACTTTTAAGAGCTAGCAATTTTTGTGTAAACAAAGACTTTTCATGAAATAAATTAAAAAAAAAAAAATTGTTTTCCTCATCAAAATAAAATCATTGATCTAAAACTTAATTGTAGGGCAATTCATGAAATATTTCCCTATATCTTTTTTTTTTTTTGGTACTTTCCATGAAGGAGAGGAGACAAGGGATAAATCCAAGTACCCATATTGAAACCTTGCTGTCATTTTTGCTTTCCAGCAATCCATGTTACTTGATTAATGATCCTTCTAAGACAGTGTTTACTTTTAATTTTGCTGATGAATGGATATTAAAGAATGGGCTGATACTGTAAACTTTTGAGTAATTTTTTTAATTTTGTATAGAGATTTGCATAAACTGGAAAATATAAACTACTACTTCTCATCCCACTGCATCTGTCTCATGGCTTATTGAGTTCTTAGTGGCCAGGTTCTAAATCCTAAGAAATACACTGTTAGCAGACACCACTATTCAGAAGAAATTGCATTTATCCAAGGACTCTCATTAGCTATTCTGAGCTACCTGCTCATGAATCAAAATGCCAATTTTCCTTCTTCCTCTGTTTTTTCCACCTTATGTTGTGATTTAGGCCCAGCTGGCAACTGAGCACCATACAGCCGCTCGCTCACCCCTGCCATTCAATGGGATGGGGAAGAGGAAATACAAAGAAAGGCTCATGGGTGGAGACAAGGGCAGGGAGGGATCGCTCACTTGTTACGGTCATGGGCAAAAGAGACTCGACTTGGGGAAGAAAAATCAATTTAATTAGTTGCTAGTGAAATAAGAGTAGGGTAAAGAGAAAATAAAACCACATCTCAAAACACCTTCCCCCCACCCCTCCCTTCTTCCTGGTCTCAGCTCTGCTCATGATTTCTTTTCCCTCCTCCCCACCATTGGCACAGGGGAACAGGGAATGGGGATTGGGGTCAGTCCATCACATGCTGTGTCTGCTGCTCCTTTCTCTTCAGGGGAAGGCCTCCTCACGCTGTCCATGCCCCAACGTGGGGTCCCTCCCACAGGAGACAGTTCTTTGGGAGCAGACTGTTCCAGTGTGGGATTCCCACAGAGTCATGGAATTCTTGGGCACAGTTGCCTGTTCCAGTGTGGGGCCCTCCCCAGGCTGCAGGTGGGTCTCTGCTCCCCCATGACCCTCCCTGGCTGCAGGGCACAGCCTGCCCTCTCACCATGGGCTGAGGGGAACCTCTGCTCCAGCCCACCTCCTCCTGCCTTTCTGCACTGACCTTGTCTCTCACATCTCACTCCTCTCTCCCCTGCAGGTTCTCTGTTTTTCCCAAGTAAGTTATGTACAGAGGGGCTAATTGTCTTGGCTGTGGCCCGAGGCAGGTCCAGCTTACAGCTGGGGAAGTTTCTGGCATCCTCACAGGAGCCAGTCCTGTGGCCTCTCCCCCACTACCAAACCCCTGCCGAACAGACCCAACACACCTTATTTTCTTGCTGCGCTGCTCAAACAGACTATTTTTGCTGTGACTGATTATATTTTTATTCTTTGGCTCTTTTCCTGACAGCGTTCTCATGAATCCCCATCTGGATCAGGGAGACTTCATTCCAGCAACGTAGGCCACATACATAGCTTGAATCCAGGGTATTGGCTGTTTTTCACATGTCTGTGCATTATTCAATATGAATGCGAGTTCCAGATACACCTGCACTTTCAAACCTCAGGGTACGGAGCGAGGAAAAGCTATGGGAAGAGTCTGTCTTTAACTGCAATTGCACGTGCTCTCACTGTTGAAAGCAGGTGGGGTCCGGGAGATCCCCGCTATGAACACCAACACAGTACTGTGCAGAAGTCTGGTTCTGCCCCAGAGACAGTGGGAATTGTTCTGTGGCTCCGTGGAGGGAATGACAGATGCCCAAGTTACCATTCCATATGTTAGAACACAGGGAGTATGTGTCCAGTGCAGAATTCAATACCGATCCCATACTTCCTTAGGCATTTGAAAGTTAGGCAAACAAAAATGTTTTACCTCCTAGTTATAAAGTTCTTCACCCAAAGTTGCATGTTCCCCTGAAAAACATGGAATGAGCCATGATTCTTAAGTGGAAAACTCTTTATCCAAACAGAGTGCGGGAAAAATTAATCATTTGGGAAGTGTACGCATCTGGCCAGTGTCGGGTCCCTTACCTTTGGCACTGCTGGCTAAAAAGTTGATACAGAGGGTTTTCTTTTCTTTTGGTACCTGGGGATTTGTGTGCAGTTCAGCTGACATCTTATGTCTGAGCTAAGCTGGAGATTTTCCCTGGGCACTCTAGAAGGCTCTGGCCAGTTAAGAATTTATAAGAAGTGTGTCTCAACAGCTCTTGTATTAGGCAAGTCTCATGCTTTAAAGGCTCTTTACGTAGTTATTTTTGCTGCTTGTGCATGCTGAATGATTGTGACCAGGAAGACCATCTCATGGTCTTGTATCCTGGGCTGTATCCAGA